TGGAATGGTGTTTATTTTTTTGTTCTTGCTATTTAATATTTCACCTTTTTTCAGATACCCACATAATTACTTCGTATTCTCAACCGCTCTTTTTTTTTTTTTTTAACAATTATTGGTGTAAACTAAAAAAGTGAAAATAACAGCTATAGATAAAGAAAAAAAATATTCCCTACACATGTTGATTAATACAGACAAGAAAATTTTGCACTTTTTCTCTTTTAAATCAAGTAATAACTATTATGACTGTTGTTATAATTAATATTAATATTAATATTAATAACTTTGACCTTATTATTATCACTAAAAAAAGATAGATGTTTGTTTGGAACTAACCATATTCCGAGGCAAATTTACCTGATTAGCGATTTACATTTATGTAAGTAAACATTAGTCTATTCTTCATCAACTTTCAAGGATCACTCAATATGGAGTTTCATATCCAACAGGTATACTGCAAATTATACTTCCGATAGAGGCAGATAAAAACAGCACTTAAGCTGTGTGTTCCGATACTAAGCAACCAAAACATTCGAGCATTCTTTTCGGGGAACATTTTACATGTCAAAAATCAACACAGTTGACCATGAAGCAAAAAAAGATTAGAGAAATCATTGTGATGTTTTCTAGCATTGCTGTCGCTTGAATCTGATAATTCACTTGCTAGAGTTGTTGATGCCTGTTTTTTGTTTTTTTAACCTTTGTAATTTGCTTCTAGAAAATATTTTATCTGTTGCTCGGAGAACTTTTAAGACATCGAGAAGGCGCAAAGGGAGAGCGAAAAATTAAAGGAACCTAGAAAAAGGCAGTGGCTGAAGGGTATGGTTTTTCATCATTTCTGCTATTTTAGTTCATTTAACTGATGCAGTTTGTTTAACAATTGTCGTCTTTGAAAACCACAAAAAAAAAAGAAAAAAACGACTCACAACAAGAAAAAAAATAAAGACAAAAAAAGCATCATCAGTAATGTTTTTCCTCCTTGCCATCTTTTTTTTCTTCTCATCTCTTCTTTCACTTTAGTTCTTTTTCACCTTTGCGAAAGTGGTTAGCATTTTTTGACGGTACACATAAATAAACAAATAAAAAAAATGTTTATAAAGCTTTTTTAAAAAATAAAAAGGTAAATTACAGATTTTTTAAACATTTCCATTTTCCTCTTTTCTCGCGTATTGCACGTTTTTTCCACTTTCTCTTTTCCGTAGCTTATTTGGAATTACCTTAAGTACAAATAAAGACTTTTAAACTTACAGATTTTAAAAATGTTGTTTAGAAAGAAAAAGAAAAAGCAGAGAAAAAAGCAAGCAGTTGGAATGAAAAAAAGCGACTAATTTGGATGACAGCGAACGATTTCCCCGTACGAGCAGTTAAAACATTGTTTGTTGCTTTCTTCTTTATAAAGAAAGATGAACCAAGGAAGAAAATAAATTGAACGTGCAACTTGAAATAAGGATTGTTCTGGAAAGCAAAATAATCAAGCACAGAATGTCTGTGTAAAAAATTGCATTTCCCTTCATTCTTGCCTTCTGGGCAGAGAAATTAGATTAAGCAATTTTTTTCTCCCAGTATTCCCCAAAGACTGTTATCGAACAAACTG